GTCGCCGAACACATTCGCCCACCTACTGCTCGGGGATTGTTCGTTCCATTTTTGTCGTGTTTTCCTTGTTTATTTTGCATTTATTTTTCCCCATTCTAGGTTATTTTCTTTTGTTCTTGGTTCATTTTGTGTCGTGTCGTGTGTTTTCTTTATTTTGCTCGTTTTTTGGTTTTTCTTGTTTTTTTTTCTCGGTTTTCTGCGTTTTTTCTTGTCGGTGGTGGTTTGCAGGTTAAGTAGCTCAGTAGGGAAGTGGCCATGCGAGGATTATACCTAGACGGATGAGTTGGGGTCGAGTAGAAAAAGACGGGATCCAATTCCGAGTCTGGATGCGTGGATACAAGTCCGGAAGTCACATCCATGCCTCAGAAATCCTTCACCGCGTCCCGCGACGTTGTTCCCGCGGCCGCGGTGAACAAACCCAATCGCGCACCCAGTTTTCTTCACTGCGGCCGCGAGAGAGGAAGTCGCGGCCGCAGAAGGCCCGAAATTTCAACACTGGCGTACAGAGCTGAAAAGTCGCGGCCGTGGGACATGTCGCAGCCGCGGACCATCCCTTCACCGCGGCCCGCGAGCTTGTCCGCGGTCGCGGAACGCGCGAATTGAGATTTTTAAAACAACAGATTTTATTTTGAACGGGCATTCATGTTTTGATCTAGGTTTCGAATTCTCTAGGGATTTTCACCCAAAAAACTCAAACTTTCTCTTGGTTTTGATCTTGTGATTCGATCTTGGAGAGAAAAATTCCGAGATTCGACTTTTGGATTCTGTTCATTTGTGTTCTCGACATTGGATTCGTTAATCGTAAGCTTTACTTTCGTTTTCTTTTGAGTGAGATGACTTTGATTATTGAATATTTTGATGTTGAATGCATGATGAGTAGCTAAATCCATTAGCTAGGGTTAGGGGAAGATCGTTTCGGTTCGATTTCGTTTATATGCATGATAATTGCTCAATCCTCTCGTGTTGTGCTTAGCCTAAGGTTTTGATGTTTGATCACCATCTTAATCTAATTAATCGATTTTATAACTGAAAAGGGAGAAATCATTCAATCTAGGCTCGTTAGGAGTAAGCTTGTTCGTTATAGTATTGCTTATGTGTTGATTGTTTCAAGAATTACTCGTTTATGTCTATCCTCTTGTTACGAAGATTTATTGAGGATAGATCTCTAGATGAGTAGTTTTGTGAGGCATTTAACCGAGCTTTTGATTGCTCGTTAAGTCTATTGAGAACCGGAATTGATTTACCCCGATACCCTAGCTCTTTTATATTATTTGAGTTTGAACTTGAGATTCCTAGTTCTGTCTAGTTTTTCTAATAACTTGTTTTTCAATTCGTAGTTGATAATATTAAACCAAACCATTCGAATTAGAGTGTTTAGGACTTCATCATTATTTCGTGTGATTGAATATTCGTATAAAATAATCCGGCTAACCTTCCTCGTGATACGACCCGGTGTTGAATCTTTGGATTCTACTCCGGTATAAATATTTACAACAAATTGGCGCCGTTGCCGGGGAAGGTTCAGGACTTATTTTGTGCGCCTATTCAATTTGTTTTCAGTGTTTCTTTTGTTTTCTTT